AAGTGGAATTGCCCCATAGTAAAACTCCATATGAAAGGTGTGACTGAAATAGGCTGTGATAAGACATAAGTAATACTTCCATACTCAACACTTTCTTCATCTGACGAAGTAAATAGAGCTGGGTGGCAAGTTTTTTACAAAGCTGATCTAAGTGATTTTCCCATCTCAGACCATCTCAGACCATATACACAGACCATCTCAGGATGACAATCAGAGAGCTTCGACCTCGGCATTGATGGACACACAGGATAAAGCGACGGATAGTGCTGACCTCACAATTCACAATTCAGCCATATCAAAATCTATTTGCCAATGGATGAAGAATAAATGTAGTGGGTATCAATGGGGGATCTTGAAAAATCATCTGAATGATATTGTAATCAATACCACAATAGGTGAGAATAATGACCTTACATCTTCCATCACTTGTATATGTAATATTGTATTCAGAATTCATAGGTTATCTCGGAGGGCCACATGCCAAAAGAGGTGGATTTTATAAAACTTTCAAAAACATTTTCTAGAGAAACATATTGATTGTGTTCGAGAAGTATCCTCAGAAAATGATAGTTTATTGAGTACTAATAAGTCGAGTGGCCAAACGAGTAGCCAAAAAAAAATAACGAATTATTTGGATAATAGCAAACAGAAAAATGAAGCATGTGTGCAAGGAAAGATGAATATTTTAGTCATAGAAGTTGCAGAATTTTGATTTGGACCTCCTTGAAATATTCAAGAAGTGAGAGGGCAAGAAGAGCTACGGAAAAGTCGATAGATAGGCAAACATTCATCACAAAAAATTATCCACTTATAAACAATATCGGGGAAATTATGAAAACTATGCCATTAGAAATCCAAACTAACTTAGTCGAAAATTTTGAAACTATTGGCAACCCCGATAGAAAAGTTTCTACTAACGAATTATTGAATATCCTAATTGAGACTTCAACAAGAAATTTGAAAGATTCGGCTAATAATACATATGATGAAACCTTGAAAAAATTTTCATTATATCTTTTATATGTTGGAGGAAGACTTCTTTATGGAACATTGCATGCCAATTCAAAACATATCCTTCCATCAATATCAACATTACACAGACTCACTGCATCCAGTGATAATAGACTCGAAGAAGAGGTATTCAACTTTGAAGGGTTGTTAAAATTTTTAGAAGATAGGAATTTGCCCAAGGTAGTTTGGATGTCTGAGAATGGTACTAGAGTAATGGGAAAAATTGAATATGATAGTGAATCAAACAAAATGATAGGATTTGTTTTAACCATGAAAGATGGTATACCCATCAATGATACATTTTTGGCGAAATCTTTAATGAGGTCATATTTTCATGAAGCCGACAAAGCTCATTATGTATATGTTATAATGGCACAACCATTAGATCAACTATCGCCTGCATATTGTGTAGCTGTTTTCAGAACAAATAACAAGTTTTCATACGTTTTCATATCAAGACGTTATTTCAAGATGGAATCACATGACTAAGATCGCTCAAAGTTTTGGAATCCATATTTTAGGATACTCATCTGATGGTGACTCTCGACTTCTGAAAGCTATGAGAGTTAATTTATTTATTTCGATTGATTTCGATCATTCTCATGAAGAAAACTCACGGCCATGGTATACTATGAGTTTGAATGGTGATGTCTGTTATATTCAAGATCAAGTTCATATCTTAACCAAATTGCGAACCAGGTTATTAAAGCCCGGCATCAAACTACCTATGGGAAATTATAATGTCAGTGTAGACCATCTCAACACTTTAATTGATAAAGAAACCAAAGATAAACACTGCATCACTTTATCTGATCTAAAAGCAGAGGATAAGATGAACTTTGAATCTGCCTCGAAAATTTGTGACTCAAAAGTGATCAGTTTATTGAATACAGTGCCAAGCAGTCGTGATACAATATTATATTTGAAATATATGCAGTATCTACTTGATTCATTTATTGACAAGAATATTGACTTGGCGACGAGAGTGAATTATATATGGTATGCTGTATTTGTTTTCAGAATTTGGAGAGTATGGCTGAAATCTCAGGCTCACTACAAAATTCAAGATAACTTCATTTTAAGTAACTGTTATATGTGCATTGAGCTTAACGCTTACCAGCTGATTAAAATAATCACCATTTTTCAATACCAAGAAAACCTCAGATCTAGTATGTTTTGTCCATGGTTATTTGGAAGTCAAACGTGCGAGAGACTATTTAGGGCCACCAGATCGCTAACATCTACGTTCTCAACAGTGGTAAATTTTAGTGTGAAAGATATTCTACACAGAATTGATCGAATCAGTACCATCAATAATATAATCAATGAATTGAATGATTATGTAGTTTTTCCTAGAGAAGTTAAAAAAAAACATGATATCTGATACACGTCCCATAACTGATGACGAAATTCAAAACATTAACATAAATGATATAGTTGAAAAGGCATTCAAGAAGGCCATAAATGATACAAAAAATGTAGGAATCGAAATTGAAAGAGAGTTAGTCATATTGATCAATAGTGTTTTTCAAAGGGAAGCTAAAATACCTGATAAGGAAGACCTGAATGATGAAGGGGAAAAAAGTATAGATGAAAATTTAGTATATAAGTGAAAATATAGATAATAAGACTTCAGAGTTTGTTTTATATCAAGAAAGAGATAATATAGTAGAAGAAGGTGGTATAGGAGAAAATAAGGAACGAGAGATAGAACTTAAAGATTTTTCAAGCAAAAATGTTGATCTGACTGAAAAAAGCAAATTTGTTAAATCTAAAAATAAATTCATTGTTCTGAAGAAAACGTCATATACTTGGCTTCTGGACCAAGATAATGGGAGAGTGAGTACAGATAGGCTCAAGAGATTCGTGCCGACTAAGTGGTCACAAAAGATTAAGAAAAGCGAGCAGATACTTTCGAGTAAATTGAAATGTAGAAAAATTTCTGAATCAACTAGTTCAGAGAGTGAAAGTAATTTAATTTTGGACGATTCGGAGGATACTGAACATTTCTCTGCGTCCGGCGAAGAAAATAGAAGTCAAGAAATAAACATTCTATATCGGTAGAATCATGGAATCTTCTAGTAAGGATATTTACAAGATGAAATTCTTGAAACAAGAATTGAATACGTTCGTTTGGCCAAAATCAGATGACATTGCCAATGTGAATAAAAAATATATTTTCTATGGGCCTCTTAGTATTTTGGGCAGTGGACCTTTGGAGATAAAACGTACTGATATGGCAAATATAATGAAAATGTACAAAGTGATGAAATGATTCGGTCATGGATTTAGTGATCTCACTTTTTTTTCGTTGGAATTTATTTTATTTTAGTTTTTTGTGCAACTTTGAGACTGACTATACTATTTGAAAAGTTTCAAGTATCTTTTATTTATTTATTTACTGTAGGAACATTTCATGTTTGTATTTTGATTAGTTTTTCGAAGCGTTCATTAATTTATTTTCAGTACATTACTGCCTAAACATTCATGTTCCTACCGGGGTTCCTACCTTTTCTGTGTTCATTAATTTATTTTCAGTACATTACTGCCAAAACATTCCTGTTCCTACCGGGGTTCCTACCTTTTCTGTTTTTTTTTTTTTAAGTTTTCTTATGTTAATTTTATAATTTCGTTTTTGTGAAGTGCAAAATAATGAATATTATATACTATAAGTCTTCGTTTTTGAATTCTCAGAAGTTTGTTTGAAACCTAATTTCAGAGATCTTTAGAGAAATTGACATTCCAGCTTTTGGATTAACCTACAGAGGTGTTTGTGTTTATTCTACACTCAAAAGGGTAGACTGCTTGCAGATTGATCAAATCAGAGCACTATACCAATGAAGTAATCCCAGTAATGTATCAGCTGAACTGAACTATTCTGAAGAGTTTAGGATTTTTTCTTTGCTGAACTTAAATAACTATTAAAAGTGAGTCGACTCTGAGTTTTTTTCGAATTATATAACTCCTTAAAACATATGAAAAGTAATATTTCCTCTACCTCGTAACAAGCCCTGTAATTTTTCATTGATCTGATTTACTTCTATTATAAGGCCCACCATGAAGTAATCAAGATAGAGGGTGTTAATTCAAAAAGTTTCAATGTGAATATCTTGGGAAATAAAATACTAGATGAAAAAGTTAAAAAAACGCAATTTGGCATGAAGGCTAAAGAGTTGGGGGACCTACTATTGGTCAATACTACTAAATGAGAGGTGATGTCATTTGATATTTTAAAGTTGGGGTGTGTTATGCCTAAAGGGTCTAGTTCCCTCTTACTCTTTAGGGGAGTCCTTTGTGCCAGATGGCGTTTTCGTAACTTTTTTATTTTGCCAGATATTCTCATTGAAAGTTTTCAAATTCACACCTTGTATATCTTAAGGGCCATAAGCTCACACCTCACACCAAAAGTACCACATGTTGCTGCCCAGCAACACTTTGCCAACACCTGTTCTGAGCCCTGTTCTATACCAATCAAGTAATGTATGAACAGAATATCAACTTGGCCAAACTTTTCTGAAATGATTGTGTTCATGTCCTATCCAATAAATAAATAAAAATAAATCCATGTCACTAATTATTTGGTCACCAGATGAAAATAGCTGAATTGATTTCTTGAATGCCAATAGACTTGTAGATAAAGACAAGTGACCAAAGCCTTGTAACTTCCATATCTTCCCCCAAAAGGAATTACATGAAAGATCATTCAGTAACATGCTCAGGTTAATGTAGTATATTATCATGAGTATTATTTGGTACTAATATGAAACATGGACAGGTAAGTACCTATCATGAGGAATAGTAAGTAAGTACTCCTTCAAATATAAATCAAAGTCTGAGATGTTGACTATTCAAGTTCAGATCATCAGAATTATGTCTATAAGTAAATAATTATATCTGGAATCACTGAGGAAAAGAGTCTTTGATCCCTGTTTTGAGTATCCACAACTAGTAAAATAATAATATCTGAATATAGTTGAGAATGAACTCACCATGCTGTAGTTTGGTATTTCTTGCTATGAATGTATATTTTCCCACAGTAGTGAGACTGCACCTGACACTGCCCATTTTAATCACTTTAATAAATTGCTATGTATTTCTTTTATATTCAACTACTGTTTTGTTTTCATTTAATTCACCATTGAACGTTTGTGGTAATCATGAAATGCTTCATAAGTCAAAGTTTGAATGTCATGACGCAATTTGAAAATTGAACTTTTAATTTGTTTGTGAAAATTGTAAACAATGAAATATATCATTAACCGACTATAATTTCGATAAATAATTGATGATAGTTTCAATGAATGAAAATTGGATGTTTTACTGAAATTTGGATCAACTGTTGATGATTTGCCGGATTAGCGATGTTGTTGATTTTGATTTTTTGATTTGAGACTTGAGAGCCAGTGTTGCCAACAGCTAATTTTAAAAGGGGAAACTTGTTTGGTCCTTTCTTGGCAATTCTTGCAATTTCTTGCAATTTCTTCACCGACAAAAAATCTGACCATGAACTACGAATCTGACATTCTGACATTGAAAATCAATTTTTACATAATTATGGCAATCACATGGCAATAGAATACAATCTCTTCTCTAGAAGTCACAGCTCTAGACTCTAGTAGTATTGACATTGACGTATGACGTAATGGGTTGCTTCTTTGACGTCAACGTCAATTTGTAGAGATGGCACAAAGCGTGGAGTACAAAATCGATGAAAATACAGACCGTAACTTAATGAATCTAAATATTCAAAAACCCTTACAATTGTCATTTCTGTGTCCAGACTCTTATCAAACTAATACCATCTAGGGTCCCTTGATGGAAATTGACGTTAAAGTCATCCTAACAGGGTACGGACGTCATCATATTATAATATATGAGTTCTGTGGTACGGACAGATCCTCGTCTCCTCTCACTCTAAAGTGTTTGTGAAACAGGTATATAGTTCCATTCTTATCCAATTCTAGGGAAAAACACAAGATTTTTGACATTCGTTGTTTTTTAGGTTATATTGAGGTCACTGGCGTATCATACGTAATTTCCATATGGAATTCCCGATTCAACTATACCAAGATATAGATGAATAGTCCTCTAGATTTAGAGTTTACTACTCCAACATAATCTTTGCGAGGTAGGGAACATATAAATTGTACTGAAAGCTTAATATATTTCACTGAGAGAGACTGTTCTTAGACTGTATATACTAGGGTTGACTGAATTGACTGATTGAATTCTGATTTCAAGCTGAGCAGAAGTTTATCTATCAGCTCAATGAGCTGAGCCTTATGATTGAGAAATTATGGAAACCGAGACTACTGTACTTATTCATGTGTGCTCAATATATTTTTGGAAATCCAGCTCGGTGAAGAATTTATAGAGTGACTAATATCACGTATATCATGTATAAAACTTTGTCTAGAACGAAAAGTAGGCTGATAAAAAGTAATACGTAAAATATGCAGAAAAATAAAGAATAGAATATACTTTACCCCCATGTTATACATATGATTTTTCCGTCTCCCTCAAATTAAAAGTCATTTTCGAACAATTGATTGATAAAAGTGTAGGTATACGCAGTATAACTTATAGTCACGTTATTTTCACTCTTGCATCCTACATATTTTCTATTTGTGGTAGAGTAATAATCATATAAACTAATGTCCTTCGCCATATCGAATCCGCCATCTTGAATTTTCCAATTTTGACGGAACGATCATTATCTCCTACTCCGGAAACCCCCAGATACCAATTTTGAATAGAATCGAATCTCCATTACAAAACTCGTCCATCATAATGGATCCGCCATCATGAAAATCCCAATTTTGACGAATTAATTATAATCTCCTCCAATTTTGATTTTTGAATAGAATCGGATCATAATTACAAAATTCGTTCGCCATATTGGATCCGCTATCTTGAAATTCTCAATTTTGACAAAAAAATCATAAAGTTCGACCCCGAAAACCCCCAGATACCAATCTTAAATAGAATCAGATCATAACTAGAAATTTCTTTCGCTATACGGGCTGATTCACGGTGGCAGCGCTGAGAATATTTCAGGTCGATAGAACACAACTAATTATTCAAGGCACCAACTTTTCAGAATAATCCTGAGTTGTGTTTTCCAGAAACGTCTAATGTGCCATCCACCGTGAATCAGCCTGTATATTGAATTGGTCATCTTGAATTTTCCAAGTTTGACGAAACAATCATTATCACCAACTCCGGAAAACCCCAGATATAAACCGCCATATGATCTTCAACAAGTGAACACCCTGTACATACCTATTATTGAAATTTTGAATGATTTTCTGTAGCGCCCATGGATGTGACGTGACAGCAATGTCAGTGATGCCAGTAGACAAAACTAAAGTCTCTAGATCATTAAAAAGAATGCATCTATGATCTGTCCGTACCCTGTTGGGATGACTTTAAGGTAGAAGTAAAGGTAACAATTTTGCGTTTCTCAGCTGTAAGATGGCGCTAGTGCGCTGGGTGTTACTTAATTTATGCAACTAAAATTACACAACCCCTCCCTCCCGACACACTTCTGGTCGGTAATTTCTGCAGAAACCTTTCCTAGAACATAGATAGCCCGTACAGCTTTCTACTTGAATCCCTACCAAAATCGTGCCGACTGCAGAGCCCGCGTAGCCAATGAATAAAGTGTTGCCAAAACTCCAAAACGTCGTAGAATTGCGACATTAAAGATTCTCGTTATGAATTAAACATAAAACGGATATTCTGGAAGTTGATAGACGACTCTCACAGTTTTCTGTGATATTCATGAATGAAAATGTATTTGAAAATTAATTACCGACCTGGATGTTTGGAAGACAGGGAGAGCGTATATTCAATTATTTTTATTTTCCACACAGAAAAAAACTTCCATTCAAAGAAATATGTATCTGGAGAAATTGTGATTTGAGATATAGCCAAGTAAATATTGTCCTGAAACAAAATATGTTCTTGTTATATAATTGTTCGAATACCAGGTACTTGTAAAAAATAAGTTTTTCCTATATTAATTCATCACAAGATCTTATTTAGCTCCACCTGTTATTTCTATCTAGATTTATTCATTATTTTTTTCCCAATTATTCCTATACCGACAAAATTTTGCAAGTGAAATTTAACACATTTCTAGTCGTCCGATCGACTTGAGGTGTTCATAATTCTGGTGACACATTCAAGAATTGGCGAATTTGGAGAGAAATCTCGAAACAAGCCGATCTCAATTTTCAAATTATGATTTTGTGTTTGATATATCATACTAGTGATCTTATCCATCTGGGCGTGATGACGTAATCGATATTTTCTTAAATGATAATAGGGGACTTGTGATAGCTCATTCGAAAGCTTATTGAATTCTCTATTCAGTGATATAAACTGTAACATAATTATTCATACAGGGTGGCCAAAAAATATTTAATTTTTAATTAAATTAATTTATTCCAGAATATCAGAATAACTCTGGAGACAAATCTCAAAATAGGTCGATTCTTATTTTCAGATTATGATTTTGTCATGATCATACTTGTTACCTTATCCATCTGCGCCTGATGACGTAATCGATGATTTTTTAAAATGAGAATAGTGTTCTTATTCGAAAGTCTATTCAATTCTCTTTCTACTGACAATCAAAATTGTACATATATAGATAGACCACAAAATTAACAAGATTTATGAAATAGAATTAGATTGGAATTTCGTAATATAACTCCAGAAATGATCCATACAATATACGAGAAAAATGTCTTCCTCGGGTGGCAATTTAAACATTTAATTCGAGAGGATAGCAATTTTTTATTTGTCAAACAACGAAAATTTTTTTCTTTTTACTGACATTATTATAATTGTAAAGTATGGTAAAGTATTTGCAAAAGAATGGACACATAATGACACGAAGACACTGCGAGCACTGGAAAACGAATATCTAATGGTGAATCCTTGTCTTGAAAAATGTCAAATAATGGTAATTATCTGGGAATAAAATGTTTTAAATGAATTTCATACCTATAGTTCTTGTTGTAAAAATTGATTTCATTTGAGAATTGTTTATTTTGACCACCGTCCATAAATAATTATGTTGATGTTTATTACACTGAATATAGAATGGCATAATCCTGCAAATGAGCTATCACACAACCCTCATTCTCATATAAAAAATCTTCGATTACGTCATCACATCCAGTTGGATAAGGTCACTAGTATGATAAATATCAACCACAAAACCATATAGTTCAAAAATATTACCTAATCCAGAATGGCGGCTTCGAGTAGAGCTGTTTTTTCAGTGTATTTTATCTATTCGCGGATGGGGAATGAATCTTGGGGGAGCCATTCATTTATATAAATGTGGTCAGTGAGACCGTGATTGTTCCCGTAACGTCAAAATAATATTGTTTCACGCGGAATAGTTAAAGTTACTCCTATCATTGTTTGTGTTTGTGATCATCATATTATAGTGGATAACGGTTTGAATATTTAATAGAACAATTTTAGTGTGTTGGAATTTTTTGAAAAATGCCTCGAATCTTTGTGAAGAATTCGCGACGCGGTTTGCATCTTAAAAGGTAAATGTTTCATTGTCAATATCGATATTAACTAGTTAAGTACCTACTTCATTGACTTTTATTACAGAGAATACAAAAATACGGAGGATGAGCAGGTTCAAAAAAAGATTTCATGTGCTGCTAGGCTCGCTGCTAAGTGAGTTTAATTAGCTTGTAAATACGTACCTATATGGTAGATATAAAAAAATTAGAAAGACAGAAACTGCTGAAAATGCTGGTTTTGGGGTCGTAATGATTCAAAAATAATAATTATCAACAGACATTGTGAAAATTTCAAGTGATTTAGATATACCTGTCATGTCCTATACCCTCCTATACCTAACACTGTGACCTAACTACCGCCCTTCTTATACATCCAGTTCACAGATCAATCGAACGAAAGAACGTTGATAATAATTACTGGTAATACCTATTAGGGTTCAAAGAACGAGAAGACGGGTCACTCAAAAAATCGTCAGTCGGCGTGGTTCAGCCTGTGGTTCAGCCACACCCGAGCATTTTTTGCAATTCCTAGAAGTGAGCCGGTAGGCTGAATAATAATATACAGGGTGTCCGGAAATAACTTTCGACAAAATTCAGGGATGATTCTACATGATAAAATATTGATTTTTTTCCGGACCTGCGTCCGGAAATGCATAGTTTTTATAAACATCTCAAATCACTAATATGCTTTGGTCGATTTCGTTAAAATTCAGCAGTGCTGTTTCTTGAAATGAGGAAAAAATTTAGCCATGATGGGATTTATTAAGTACATAATTTTTTGGAAATAAATTCTTCTTCTGGAAATAAAAATGGGTATTTCTATTCACAGAAACTAGTAAAAATTGAATGAAATTGAATATTTATTCGTTTTGATGATATATTCATAAAAGTTTGACAAACTCTTTAGTCTTTTTTGTCATGTAGAAACACCCCAAATTATTCGAACCGTATTTTCGGACACCCTGTATATAAATGTTTCAATTTTTTGACCTAAATAGATTCAATATTTTCTCCGCCATTGTTCATTTTTTACAAGATGCCGTCATCAGATTTTCGATCCGACGTTTCGTTTTTCCGTAACTATCATCAAATAATACTGATGATGATTTTCTTGTCCGAAACGTCGAATAAATTTGAAGTGCAATGTCGTTGGATTTAGAATTACAATTAGAGTAGGTACTTCAGGTTCTAAACTAACTTTTACGACTATTTATAAAAACAATGTTCATGGTGGTTGCTCGTATACGAAACGTTAGATCAAAAATCTGAGCAGAACAGAAAAAGTGGCAATGGTAATGTGAAATTCAGTTTATCATATCACTTCAAATGAAGTCAGGAGAAAAATAAAAACGAATTCGCGGATTTTTCGGAGTATTCGGAATTCGTGAATTTTCAAGGCGTCATTTTGATGTGCATCAAATTGCGCAACTTTTTCCTGATTCAACCAACTTCGTATCTGTTATGATTTCCGAGATACAAATGATACGCTTCGAATTTGGGATACACTGTACATCGTCCATATAGTTTGCCCCTTCAATATCAGCATATTTATTATGCATCCTAATGAAGACTGACATGTTTCTCCTCTCCTGATACTTGTAGAATGAAATATCATTAAATAATCAGAAAATGCAAGTTCTGAATACTTCTCTGATTCTTTTGTTTCCCACCTAGATATTAAAAACGAAATCAAAAATATTCTTAAAACAGTATAAACATCAAACTATCAATCATTTTTATTTTCATAAATAGGCACTGAAATTCTATTATTTTCGTCTTACGTTATACACTGTTGATGACCCCAGAACAAGTCGAAACGGCTGCTCACTGTTATTCAATTTTCTATACCTACTATAATTTTCATTTGAAAATATGAATACTTGCTATTTTTAACACTTCTTTATATTTTAGCATTTCGTCGCAGGTCCATTCAAAGGATGAAAATTTGACATCTTCGGATAATAATGTTGCTGAAAATTGCACACCTCTGAGGAGGTCGTGGTCTTTCGATTCTGAGTCTTCTGAGTCTTTGCCTGAATTAGAAATTGAAGTTGTTAGACTCCCTGGACAGTTCGATCCGAAAATAAGAAATATTAGTGGAAGACGTATAATTGATATTTCTCATTTTATAACGGAAGTGAGACGTCTAGAAAATCACGTGTGCCATGTAAAACCAACTGGTTATTTGAGTTTCGATAGAGAACAGAAAATCGGACTTCATTCAAAACTTTTTTTCAAATGCGCAGCTTGCGGTCATAGTACATCGATAACCACAAATAAGCCAGATAAAAGTGAACCCAATGCAAATTTTCTGGCTTCATGGGGTGCTTTAGCCAGTGGAAAAGGCCATTTCTTCTTAGAAGAATATTTATCACTTCTTGACATACCTCCGTTGACAAAACCAACTTTTTTAAAGTATCAACAAGAATTAGGTGATTCATGGAATGAGTGTTTAACAGATTCGATACAAGCAGCAGGTGCAGAAGAGTATAAGTTAGCCGTAGAATCCAATAATATGGCAGAAGGAAACATTGGTCAATGTACAGTAGTTGTAGATGGAGGGTGGAGTCATAGATCGTATGGGCACAGATATACTTCAAAATCTGGAGTTGCTTGTATCATAGGAAAACATACAAAACAACTCCTATTCATTGGCGTCAGAAACAAGTATTGTAGTGTATGTGCTATTTCCGAAAGAAAAGGAGAGGAGGTGCGCCGTCATAAATGTTTCAAAAATTGGTCTGGCTCATCACCTGCAATGGAAGCAGATATCATCGTAGAAGGATTCATCCACAGTCAGTCGATGCATAATCTTCAATATACCGCATTCATTGCAGATGGGGACTCCAGTGTACATTCGAAGATTCTAGAGCACGTTCCATATTCTCGAAAGATTAAAAAAATTGAATGTGCTAACCATCTGACGAAAAATGTAACGAAGCACCTACATGAACTTGCCAAAGAATCTTCTGCTAATAGGAAGTTGTTGTCCAGCAATAGGATAAATTACATAGGAAAGAGCTGTAGGAAACTTATATCCATACACGCTCGAAAATCAACTCCTTGTGTTGCAAATTTGAAACATGATTTGCAGAATGTTGTCAGTCATGTATTTGGAAATCACAGAAATTGTAGAGCCGAAAACTGTTTGAAAGTAGGTCAATGTAATGAAAATGATTTTCAAAAAGCTTCTACTGAAACGCAATTGCGCATAATGAGGATTGTAGGGAACTTGACCTCTAAGGCTGACAGCCTAATCACCGATTCAACTAGCAACAGTGCAGAACAGTTCATGCGACAAGTTGCTAAATTCAATAGCGCCAAACAAACTTTTTATGGACGCAGAAATTCATTCAACATAAGGTGCCATGGTGCTGGCTTGGCATATCAGTTTGGACCACGTTGGATGATCGAAGCTTTCAAGCATAAGTTCAAAAAGAGTCCATCGAATATACTAAAACGGTTAGTGAGGGAGAGGACAAACAATAATTTTCTCTGATAGGAAAATTCTTTAAACGCAGTGACATTTTGGGGCAAATCATCTGATTTGTCCTTACTACACGTATATTGAAATAATATTCATATTTTTATTTTATAGAAACGAGGAGAGAAAATCCCAAAAAATTTGGAATAATGAATATACCACCTCCTCGATTAACCTACAGACAGTATTTAATAATTTTCTTGGTAGATCTCGCCGGAAACGATTGTTCAATGCAGAAGCTAAAATTTCTGATAAAAATTGCGATTATGGTGCTTCATGCAACAAACCCGATTTACCTGATGAAGAAATACAGAATTTGATAAAGGAACAAATCAAGATTTTGAACATAACCTGTGAAGAACAGATGGAAATCGAAAAATCCACTCGTGGTCAAAGTGATAATTCCAAATGGTTTGAGGCAAGAAAATCACGACTCACGGCATCTAAGTTCGGAGAAATTTGCAAGCGCAGGATTAATCACGGAAAACTCGTAGAATCTATGCTATACAAGACCTTGCCACGAATGAAGCAAATTGAATATGGAAAAATGAATGAATCAGTAGCTATAGAAGCATATAGTTCGAAAGTAGGAAAATATGTCAGCCCTTGTGGTTTATTTGTTTGTACCGATCAAGGTTATGGGTTTCTGGGTGCTTCCCCGGATGGATTGGTAGATCATGACAAAATTATTGAAGTCAAATGTCCCTACTCAGCCAAGGATTATACTCCTTTAGAAGCTGCGAAGTATTTAAAGAATTTTTATTGCAGATTGTCTGAAGATGGGACACGTATGATGTTAGATAGGAAACATAACTATTTCTATCAGATACAGGGGCAAATGTATATTTGCGCAAGAAAACTCTGTGATTTCATAGTCTGGACTCCCAAGGGAATTCATGTCGAAACAATTCAGATCGATAAAAAATTTATAGAAAATATGATGTCGAAACTTAAACAATTTTATTTCGATCATTATGCAGTGGAATTAGTTGATAGTAGACATGAGAGAAATATGCCAATTCGATGCTACTCTAAAATAAGAAATCAAACTGAAGATAAAATAAAGAACTAAGAAATCATTTCATTCAATTATGCTCAGAGATTGATTTTTTGAGAAGGACCCAACCTGAATAATATCTCAGAGAATAAAACAGATTACATCAATCAGACCTGAAAATTCTACAGCTGAATCCCTGATAAAATAATCTATCCAATGAGGTATAATAAGGTGTGTTCGTTCCTTTCGAGACTTCATAGGGGTGAAATATAGAGCTAAGGGTGTCAGACTCGATCGAACAAATACATATAGTCAACAGATTATATGACACATCACTATATCCACGTTCGGGTATTCTCGTTTCATGCTCAAGTTATTACGGAGAGACTCTTGTGGTGATAAACTCTACATACATTCGTAGGATTCCTGGATTGGGTATTTTCGTGAATATTTACTCGGTTCATTTTTTCGGACTACCAGATCTGACTCACTATGTAGATTGGTAATTCTTATATGACTTCTAATCTTCACGTTGTATTGAACTGAATGAAATATAAAATAAAACTTTTCAAAAACACGCATATATTTAAATGCTTTAAATAAAGGGAAAATATGTTTTTTTCCTGGTTATCTAGAAAATTAAGTATGGGTAAAAGTGGAGCGCTAAATCATTATTGTGATATGATAGTTTCTTGGCACTCGCATGCTTTTACTCATATTCTTCATTTTTTGATAATCAGGAAACAAATTATTTTCCCCTTTTTTTGATTTTAAGCGTGGTTTTTAAAAAGTTTTTTTTATATTTTATTTTCTACTCTTCCATCTTGTTGATTTTAAATGCCATTTCATCACATTCAAACTGTGTTGGAACATAGTCCGATATTTTGGAGCTGTCATCTTGAATGTTTCAATTTTAACAAAAGAATCATAATCTCCGACCCTGATCACCCCCAGATACCAGTTATGAATCGAATCGGACCATAAACAAAAAACCATATCGGATCCGCCATATTCAATTCGTCAATTTTGACAAAAGAACTATATAATCTCATCCCACCCCGTAAACCCCCAAATACCAATTTTGAATCGAATCGGACTATAAACACACAAAGCTTGTACACTATAAATGGAGCCGCCGTCTTGAATTTTTCAATTTCGACACAAGAATCATAGTCTCCGACCTCGAAAACCCCCGAATACCAATTTTGAATACAATCGGATCATAATTGAGAAACTCGTCCGCCATATCCCAACTAGCATTTATAGTCGCGATTACGTAATTACGACTATTGGGTCGACTATTAAGTAATATTTACTAGTTGCGGTTACGTTATAATTACGTCGTTACTACGTATTTACGACCAAAATGGGGAACAAATCACGAGTAATTATTACGGTTTGCCGACGTAGCGGGAACTCACACAATTACGTAATGCTTACGACCCGTCGACGTCGAAATTACGTAAAGATGTAGTAAATTTTCCTACCTGACTTTCTATTTCTTTTCCACTTCATAAAAATATTATTTTCTCTCTTTATTATTCTTCATTTCATCCATGAAGTTCACATTCACGAAAAATGAACAAGTCCAATATGCCTAACCATTCAATAAATAATACAAGGACAAACACGCGAAATAATTGATACTCGAACTTGAAAAATTCGAACAACATTCAGTTTTTCGATAAATGTGATGATTTTGCCTCGAAATTCAAGATGCGCCCACAAAATAGGTACGGCTCATTTCACCAAAAATATGGTTTTATTTCATTCGGCTATTTTTCAAAAATCATCGTAAATCATGTTAATTTCCATTATTATGCAATTTGTGATCGAACGAATGCTATTATTCTTCATAAAATGATGTTTATCAACAAGAAAAACCAAAATTATTTCCTGTTCAAATGGTTATCACATCAATCAATATGGCTTCCAATCGAAAATGAATCAGAAAGTTACTTTTGGAACTCGTCAGTTATGATAACCTATGTATTGGTAACTTCAACTGAATATAATTACCGAAAAGTTGTTTCAACTATGAAGGAATTGTTTGAGTAGGAATTACCAATATGTTACTTGAAATATCACCAAGAATTGACTAAATTATTAGGTGATCGATCAAGTAACGACAACGTCGTAGAAACCTAATTGGTGACCATAGAGTAATTGCAACTGTGAAGCCTTCTTGGGGTGGTAAGCGTTACCGTAATAATATATCCAAAGTTCCGAAACCTTAAGAGTAGTTTTGAGGAGTGACAGTTTCGAAATAGTTACTTCGTAATAAGCCATGAGAATTTCTCACTTTGAAGTTATTATCTAGTGTAAAAACTACGTAATTTTCACTCACTAAATAACTATCACTGACATTTATACTATGAAGTTCTGAAATAAGTGATAAATACGTTATTATCACTAAATATAGGTAATAGTTTCTTGAACCATGGTGCCTGTGACTGAAAATGCTAGTTGGGATTGGAGCCGCCATCTCGAAATCTCCAATTTTGACAAGAGAATCATAATATCCGACCCGGAAAACCACCAGATACCAATTTTTAATAGAATAATCGGATTATAATTTAGAAACTCGTCCACTATATTGAATCCGCCATCTTGAATTTTGTAATTTTGACAGATGTATCGTGATCTCCGATCCAAAAAACCCTTATATACTAATTTTCAATCAAATCCGACCATAAACACAAAACTCGTCCGCCATATTGGAGACGCCATCTTCAATTTCTCAATTTTGATAGGAAAATCGTAATCTCCGATCACGGAAACCCCCCGATACCAATTTTGAATAGAATCGGATCATAATTACAAAACTCGTCCACCATCCTCCATTTTGTTTTTTTTTTCTTCAACAATTCCATAATGCATGGCCAGCGGAATTATAAACACCTGCCAAATTTCAAGTAGGTAAATACTTAGATACATACAGTCAGTAAATTAGAGGTATTACCTACCTATCCAGTTCATTTGAAAGTCCATATTGTGCAAATATTCGAATAAGTATGTATATTTTTACGTATCAATTCAGATATTCAACGAGACATTATTTATTATCCCTCCATTTTCCAAATAACTTTCCCAGATTCCACAATTGAAACTACAAATGCCTAGATAGTCGCACAATAATTCCTAGAAACAAATCGGTTCACCAATATCGGTCATCTCTCTCTAGAAATGTTGGCAACACTGTATCTAAATAGCACCAGAACGACATGCATTTGTTGCGATCCCCAGTGGCGAGTAGCGATACTATCTTATGTTGAAATCACATCCTAAATGATTATAACTATTTCCAGCAGAGGCACCACGTCCTGGAGCATTATCTAGATTTATGAGAATTTCTGTCTGAATTCATACAAGTCGAGTTTAAAAATATAATTAAATATTTTCCACGTCTGCAAAGTGATTTTAATTGTTCTCATATGTTCAATATTGTATAATCAATCAAAGTAAAGCAAACTTTTTCGCTGGTGTTGATATTATGACAAGTTTTTATAAGTTTTTCATCATAGTGAAAAATCTGTGAATTCAAAAATTATGAAAAAAATCTGGATTATTCAAAATGGCAATATCAAACTTTCTCAAGATTTTGAAGAAAATCTGTCGATCAGTTTTTGAGAAAAGTCGAAAAAATGGTGTTTATAATTTTTTTCGAAAAAACCAGTCGACAGATTTCTTTCAAAATCTCAGAATAGATTGAAATTGCCATTCTCAACATCCCAGATTTTTTTCATGCTCTTTGAATATACCGTTTTTTTTTTGGTGGGTTTACTTGTACCTTAACGTCAATTTTCATCAAGGGACCCTAATACCATCCAGTGACTCTAGTTCACATTTGTTTTTTGTTCGTGCTTATTGGTAATATTATCAAAACAAACGCTCAGAAGAGTTCAAGTTGCTGGCGTCAGGTAGGAAGATGTGTTATTTTCAATCGCG